CGACAGCAGCAGCCGGGTCTGATGATACTCGAGGAGGGGGGGGGGGGGTGCAGGTATCAGCGAGGTATGTGCGCACCGCATTCCTCGCCGGCAGTGCCGCATGAAGCCCGCTTATCTGATCCCGGGGCCCCGCTGCCAGTTGGAGAGGGGCCCCAGTTGGAGAGGCGACCGCTCCCGGAGGTTGTGGACGGGCGAGCAACTGGCGGGGTCTCCACCTCTCCCAGGTGATCGATTCGTTCATTTAGCCGAGGGGCGTTTGGTTTGCGCTAGAGCCCAGGCAGGCGCAGGAGTTGGTCCCGAGACCGCCGCCGCCAGCCCACCGCTCCGCGCTGCTTTTGGCAGTCGCAGCCTCGCTCGCCGTGACTCATCCTCGGCCAGGCACCGCGGCCGCAGGTCCGGGGCTTTCCACTGGAGTCGGCAGCGCCGGCTGCCCGCAGGCCCAGGCCGGTTCGGAACCTGCTGGACCAGGGACGCGGTCACGGGCCCGCAACGTGGGCCCCGCGGATTATGGGCGCGCCCACACGAGGGGGTCGCGGCTGCACCGTGCGGCCACGGCCGTGAAGCGTTCCGCCTTGGCCAATCGTCGGTCGCGTGCTGCGCGTCGTAACGGATCCGCTCGTAACCTGCGTCAATATCAAATCGATTCAAGGCGGCTCGAGATGAGTGGAGAGCGCGGTTCTTACTCTGTGGTTTACACACAGACGCGGGTGGCACTCACCTGTACAGGTAAGGGTGGCCGCGCTCACCACTCAACTCCTGCTCACCACACTGCACTCACCACTCAACTCCTGATCACCGCACCGCGCTCACCACTCAACTCCTGATCACCACACCACACTCACCACTCAACTCCTGATCACCGCTCCGTTCATCATTCCGTTCTCGTCATCACACCGTGCTCGCCACGCTGCACTCACCACTCAACACCTGCTCACCACACGGCGCTCACCACACCCACACCGAATCTCACCCCAGGCACGGAGCAAGAGCGAGGAGAACTTGCTGACAACAGCAGTCGCTCTTGTTGCTGATGGTGCTGCTGATGGTGATGGTGTGCTGCTGGTGGCGGTGGTGCCGAGGTGATCCCTGGGCCCGAGAGAGACACTCACCGAGAGATCGAGGGCGCCAGAGCCAAGGCAGCCGTCGGTAAGCACCGTGACACGCGCTCCCACCTAACTTTAGAGTCGATAATAAAGAGACACAATAAATAAACACGTGTATTGTATATGCGAATAAAGCTTCACACACGTGCGGGACGGCCCCCGGCACGGGGTCCCTGGGCATGTGGCGGACCCGAGGCCGGGCCGTGTCAGGAGCGAGTGCCCTCGCGTCGAGTGAGATACAGAATCTTTTACGATCTCTATTTAGACTGGGAGGAATCCGATGAGCTATGAAGGTTCCTGTGTGCGCACACAAACGGGCGCAAAGAAGCGGGGAGAGATGAGAGGCCTGGACGGTCGTTGAGGAGCAGGAGGAGCGGCGTGTGGATGAGATGGCAGGCAGGTTGGAGACGGCGACTACCCAGCGGCAGGCAGCGGTGAGGTTGCGCTCGAGGGGAAGTCCCCTGCGGAGATGGAGCGACGGAATCGACTCGTGTGAAGGATGAATTCTGACATTGTGAAGGCCTTCATCCAGCAGTGGATTAGTCGTAGTTATAATCGGTTGTGAGTGAGATGCATGTTATTCATCAGATCGATTTCCCAAAGCCATAATCGGTTGGAATCCTCGTCCCGTGTTTGACGTCCCGACTCAGTGTTGTTCATCGGCGGCGCGCGTGACATCCACAGCAGTGGAATCGTGAGTGAGTGAGTCGCCCAAAGACTCGGACAAACATCCCAATGCGGTAGGGACCCTCTTGGGAGGGAGTCTTGAGACTCGTTGACGAGTTGCTGGGCAAATACTCTACGCGATATTACTATTATTATACCCTTTTTGTTACCGAGCAGACTTTTGGAAAATAATAATGTAAGAACGCGCCAAAAGCAACTAGAATTATAATCGACAAGAAAACAAACATGTCCAGCATCGCGAGGAGCCGCGACCACCACAACAGCTCCCGTGCGGGAAATGAGCTCACAGAGATAGCCGGGCGCCCCCCCAACCCCTCCCGCCCCCCACACTGCACGAGGCCAACGCGAGTTGGGGGCTCGGTGCCCCCCCCCATCCCACCGCTGGGCGGATGGGACACGGGTCCCGGGAGAGAGGGCGGTGGAGTCTGCCTCGTGTGGAGGGGCGCGAAGGAGATGTTTTTAGATGGCGGGATCGTGAGATACGGCGGATGATTTAAGAGGCGTTCATCCAGAAGTGGATTGACCAAGGCTGCTAGTGGGGGGTGCAGGGTGTCACGGTGCATCGGTTACACGCGCGACCCGTGTTACCCGAATGGCCCGTGATGACCCCTGCTACCGGGGGTGGATCCAGGTAACCCGTGTTGACCCGTGTTGACCCGTGTCATCCTATTGACCTGTGACGACCCCGTGAGTCCCGGTTGACCCCTGGTGATTGGAGATGGCCCGAGGTGAACTGCCCCCGCCTCTCCTCCTAGCCCCCCGTAGCCCCCCTCGATCCTCCCCATCGTCCCCCGTAGCCCTCCCCCCGCCGCCCCTTCCCATAGTCCCCCCGTAGCCCCCCCCCCCCCCGCCGCCCCTTCCCCTAGCCCCCCTGCTCGTCCCCATAGTCCCCCCGTAGCCCCCCCCCGCCGCCCCTTCCCCTAGCCCCCCCGCTCGTCCCCATAGTCCCCCCGTAGCCCCCCGCCCCTTCCCCTAGCCCCCCCACCCCTCCCCATAGTCCCCCCGTAGCCCCCCCGCCCCTTCCCCTAGCCCCCCCCCACCCCTCCCCATAGTCCCCCGTAGGCCCCCCGCGGCGTCTGGAGACCCCCAGCGAAGAGCGTGGCCGCGTGTGGCCGCGTGGGGTCACGCGGCCCCCCGTGGAGGTGAAACCCACGAGGTTCAAGGTTCACGTGTGATCACCGTTTAGAGTCGTAGAAGGGTTGTAAGGAATCGCTGCCCATCACCTGTGGGTACGAGATCGTCACACACCCACATACACACCCCCACACACACACCCCCACACACACACGCCCACATACACACACACTCACATACACACACACACACAACCACCCACACACACACGCACACCCATCCACACCCCCACACACATCCACACACCATCCCACGCACACCCACACACACCCACACACCCCCACACACCCACCCACACACCCCCACACACACACACACCCACACACCCACACACACATCCACACCATCCCACCCACACACCCACATCCACACCATCACACACACACATCCACACCATCCCACCCACACACCCACACACCCCCACACCCACACACCCACACACACATCCACACCATCCCACCCACACCCCCACACACACACACCCACACACCCCCACACACACACCCACACACACACACCCACACACACACCCACACACACATCCACACCATCCCACACACACACACACCATCCCACGCACACACACACACACCCACACACACATCCACACCATCCCACACACACACACACCATCCCACGCACACACAAACACACCCACACACACACATCCACACCATCCCACCCACACACACTCGCTCAGCGAGGGCCCCAGCGAGATAGTTGACGGCACGATCCCGAACCACGATGTCTGATGGAGAATTCACCCGGCTCGGCTCGTACTCTGCAGAGGGTTGTACATGTTTGGCTTCCTGGTACTGTCCGTCATGTCCGGCCTATATTGTCTCTCTACTTAGTCCTGTCCCTCCAGTGTTGCCGTCTCGCACGTACCGTCTGTCTCCAGTCGCCTCTCTTGTGTCGGCCTCTTCCTGTTTGGTGTGGTCCGTCTCGTTGCTATTGTTGGTCTCGTTCCACCCTTTGTCTCGGTGGTATTGTTGTGTACGTTGTGTGTCTTGTCTGTTCCAGTTCAGTGTGGTCTGTTTGTCTCACAATGATATGACAGTCTGTTAAACCGGTGCCATACCAATGATGGACACAAAAAAGCAAGCACAGAAATCCGCGGCTTCAGCGAAGCTGTACGCTGAAGCCGCGGATTTCTATGACCGCCGTGGCGGCCCTGGGTGTGACCCCAGAGCGGGGGGAGGAACAGGCCGAATGGCGGAGTCCATTGGTGGACCCGCGCCCTGCAGCCGAAGCAGCAGCAGCAGGAGTATTAGACGTAGCAGCGTTAGCAGCAATAGCAGATTCATCAGCAGCAGCATCAGAAGAAGAACCCCCATCATCATCAGCAGCATCAGAAGAAGAACCCCCATCATCATCATCAGCAGCATCAGAAGAAGAACCCCCATCATCATCATCATCAGAAGAAGAACCCCCATCATCATCATCAGCAGCATCAGAAGAAGAAGAACCCCCATCATCATCAGCAGCATCAAAAGAAGAAGAACCCCCATCATCATCAGCAGCATCAGAAGAAGCAGAACCCCATCATCATCAGCAGCATCAGAAGAAGAACCCCCATCATCATCAGCAGCATCAGAAGAAGAACCCCCGTCATCATCATCAGGAGCAGCATCAGAAGAACCCCATCATCATCATCAGCAGCATCAGAAGAAGAAGAACCCCCATCATCATCATCAGGAGCACCATCAGAAGAAGAAGAACCCCATCATCATCATCATCAGGAGCAGCATGAGGAGCAGCAGCAGCAGGGGAGGAGCCCCGGCCTCGTGTCGGGCGCGCACCTGGCGCGGAAGCCCCGCCCACCGCCCCGTCACGTGACCAGCAGGTGCGCGTGCACGTGAAGGGGGGGGGGCTGTGGAACTTGGTTGAGAAGGGGGCGAGGGAAGTGGAATTTGGCGATGGGGGGGGGGGGGGTCCGTACCCCCAGGTCTGGATTTGTCCCCTGCCACAACCGCGTGGGACAGCCTCGGTCGGGGATGGTGGAGGAGGGAGGAGGTGCAGGCTGGACGGAGGAGAAGTCGAGAGACGATGGGAGGGACGGAGATGAGGTGCAGGGTGGAGGAGGAAGGGGAGGAGGAGACACGGAGTCACTCTTGAGACTAAACCCGCTGAGCCGCGTTCCGCGTCGCGGAGAGAGCGAGCGAGGGAGCACGGCAGGGAGCGCGTGAGGTGGCCATGGTCTCGTGGCTCCGGGGAGCCAGGCCGGGCTGCTGGCTCGCAGGGGAGGGTGGCGCGACTCGTGCGAGGAGCGACAGGAGGAGGAGGTAGCCGCCACTCGTACTGCTGCTGAGCGGCTCGCGGGGGACCATGGGGACCAGCGGGAGCCATGCGCGAGGTGAGTTCGAGTGACCTATGTGTGTGTCACCCTATGTGTGTGTGTGTCACCCTATGTGTGTGTGTATCACCCTATGGGTGTGTGTGTGTGTCACCCTATGGGTGTGTGTGTCACCCTGTGTTTGTGTCACCCTGTGTTTGTGTCACCCTGTGTGTGTGTGTGTCACCCTGTGGGTGTGTGTGTGTGTCACCCTATGGGTGTGTGTCAACCTATGGGTGTGTGTGTCACCCTATGGGTGGGTGTGTGTGTGTGTCACCCTATGGGTGGGTGTGTGTGTGTCACCCTATGTGTGTCACCCTATGTGTGTGTGGCCCTATGTGTGTGTGTCACCCTATGTGTGTGTGTGTCACCCTATGTGTGTGTCACCCTATGGGTGTGTCACCCTGTGTGTATCTGTCACGTTATGTGTGTGTGACCCTATGTGTGTGTGTGTCACCCTATGTGTGTGTCACCCTATGTGTGTGTGTGATCCTATTTATGTGTCACCCTATGTGTGTGTCACCCTATGGGTGTGTGTGTCACCCTATGTGTGTGTATCTGTCACCCTATGTGTGTGTCACCCTATGGGTGTGTGACCCTATGTGTGTGTGTCCCTATGTGTGTGTGTCCCAAGTGTCCCGAGTATCCCTGTGCGTGTGAGTGTTGTCTGTGTGTGTCTCTGTGTGTGAGTTTCTGAGTGAGCCCGGCGACCCGAGTTCGATTCCCGCTCACGGCCACCAACATCAATGACGATGATCTAAATCGGTCCTGGGATTCCCCGAGTAGCGCAGTGACGAGAATCATCAGGCCCCCGCGGATTACGATGTTTATCTGTACGCGGTGAGACAGACAACCGATCCGTCTATCAAAGCACAGCTTCATCTCGGTACACAGCACGGGCTGCTGCTGCTGCTGCCGTCTGTGGCCACGGAGGCGCGGTTCGTGAGTGGAGAGCGTGGGGAGAGCGAGAGATGCCGTGACGACGGCACAATCATCACCATCATCATCACCAGCATCATCATCGATATCGGCAATCGTTATCACCACCACTATCATCACCATCATTGCCACCATCATTACTGTATCATCATCATCAACCATCGCGGTTGCTGATAGGAGATGGCGAGAGTGTGGCGAGTCTCGTGTGGCTTAGAGGCACACCCGCTCCCTGTGGCTCAACATCAACATCACCACCACCAACATCAACACCACCACCACCACCATCACCACCACCATCACCACCACCATCACCACCACCACCATCACCACCACCATCACCACCATCACCACCACCATCACCACCATCACCACCACCATCACCACCAGCAGCATTCGGGAATTTCCAGTCGAGCCCGTTCTGGGAAGTGTCTCCCGTGGGGGGCCCTGGGCTCTCGCGAAACCGTGGCAGCGTTCCTCGCGGTTTAGTCCCGCGGGCCACGAGGCCCGACATACGGGGGGTGGGTGCGGTGGGGGGGGGGGGGCTGAGGGGTTCGGAGCGAGGACCGCCAGGCTGCGTAGACGCGGGGGTCTCCCATCCCCTCTCCCCGTGATGCAGCAGCGTGTGCTCCTGTGTGTTCCTCTGTCTTCCTGGGTGTTCCTGTGTGTTCCTGTGTGTTCCTCTGTTCCTGTGTTCCTCTGTGTTCCTCTGTGTTCCTCTGTGTGTGCGCGTTTTAGTTTCGTTATGGCTTAAACTCTAGCCAGCAGGTAAAACGCGAGTTTGTTGGCGAGCTCCTCTTACGCCCTGGGCGCCAGGAATGGTGTGGTGTGGCCAGCTACACGCCGTGCCGCCTTTGTCTCTCCAGCGCCGATATTTAATCGCCGAACCTGGAACTTATTGGGGTTGAGTCAACCTATGGGAAGGCCCAAAACGGGTACGGATATTCGTCGGTGGTTTTGTCCGTGAGCGGGAATCGAACTCGGTCCGCCGTGTTTCGTAGCGTGGCGCGCAAACCGTAGCGCCACCGCTCCACCGCAGACGACGCAGCGACGCAGCAGGGGCTGCGAGTTCGTGAATGGCATCTCGAAGCGAATCCTCCACGTGAGCAGAGTGGAGGTGGAGGAGGTGGAGGTGGCTCATTCCAGCACGGACACCACTCGCCCCGGGCAGACAGACAGGCAGGCCAGGTGTGGAGATATACGAACAGGTGTGTCAGTGGGCAGGCAGGTATGCAGGTTAGATAGGTAACCAGGTGTGTCATCATTTAGGTGTGTGATTAGTTATTCAGGTGTGTCAGTAGGTAGGCGTGTGAGTAACTATTCAGGTATGTCAGTACATAGGTACATGAGTGAATATGTGTGTGAATAGCTCGTCAGCGGTGTGAGTAGTGGGTATTGTGTGAGTCCCTACCGAGGCGTGTCGTTACGTAGCCATGCACGTTGGTTGGCACATAGCTATGCAAGTTGGCACGCACATGCTTGTGTGTGTGTGTATGTGGCGCTTATCGGTGAGGTATGTTAGTGAACAACAGGCAGGAATGCGAGTCGGAATGAGGTGTGCGGGGAGGCGCCGGGCCGTAGTGGACGCGTCTGCCAGCCGGAAGTGCGCACAGCTGCAACGCACGCAGCTGAGACGCAGCGCACCGCGGGGATGAATCACCCAGACGCCCTTGCAAACGACATGTTCCATGCTCTTTGGTTCTGTCGGTAAAGTCACGTAGGTATAAAATAAAATGAATCACTACGTTTCGGGCGCAACACAAGCGTCCATCATCAGGTGGTCATCAGGTGGTGATGGACACTTGTGTTGTGCCCGAGACGTGGTGATTTATTTTATTTTATATCCACGTGACTTTACCGAAAGAACCAAAGAGTATGGATTCCTGCAGTCACGAAAGCTTCAAATCATTGCATGTTCCATGTCCAAAGAATTACCCAGATAAAAAATATTCGACTATATATTTAAAAAACATCGTGAAACGCGCTGCAGTGTTCGTCCACGACTGAGAGCTGTGAGACCGCGTCGCCACACAGATGGATGCGGGAATGCGTGCTTGTACTCGCCACTGCCGAATTCTCACGGGATGCTCGAGGCAATCTTATCGGCTGCTGCTTTGGCGGAGGAGGAGGCGAGGCGCCGCTGGGGATGTCTCCTACGTTCTTCCCGCGTCCGCTGTGCGTCCATCTGTGCGGCGGGGGGAGGGGGGGGGGCACGGCTACTCACGTAAAATGTGATCCAACGTGAACAACAACTCTCCTGTCAAGTTGTGTCGCTCGCAGGGACTTTCCCGGTAAAAAAATATCAAAGACACCGGTTCAGGAACGAAGACTTTCGGAGAAGAACCGGGAGGGGGGGGGGGGGGTTGAAATTGTTGCGGCTGCTGCTGCTTAAGCTGAAACAGTCGAGAGGAATTGGGGAAATGGGCCCGCACCCGTCAAGAGGGCAGCTGATGAGAAACGAGAGACGAAACTTGGCTACGGAGCGGAGACCCAGAGACGGTGTTGCAGAGTTTGGAGGTCACGGCTGGGGACACCTGCGGCTGGGAGGGGAGGGGTAGGGGAGAATGGGGGGGGGGGGGGGGTTCGGGGTGGGGGAGTCACCGGTGGACAACACCAAAGGGTTGCCCAACACGTAGAGACCATCTACAGACCCCATGCTCATGTTTGATTCTCCTTCCTTGTGTTGTCCACAGCTCCGAGCCCGGTGTCCAAGCGCAGCGGGACTCTCAACTCCAAGGAGTCGCTGTCGCCACCGCCGCCCCGGCCGGCCCGGTCCAAGGTCGACCGCCTGCGCCTGGGAATCCTCAAGCGCCCGCCCCAGGGCGGCGGCGGCGGTGGCGGCGGAGGAATCGCGGAGGGGAAGCACACCCGCGCGCGCTTTCACCGCCCGGCCGCGGGGACCGCCGCGGCGGTAGTCGCGAGGGGCGGCGGGACCGGCGGCGGCACCGGCACCGGCACCAGCGGCACCAGCGGCACCAGCGGCGGCAGCGGCAGCTTCCTGCGCGAGAACCGCTTGAGCAAGTCGCGCTCGGAGAGCCAGATCGCCGAGTGGGCGGCGCTGGAGGAGAAGGTGAAGGAGCTGCTCGAGGTGTCCAACGCCAAGGACGACGAGATCGATAACTTGCGCTCGGCGCTCGAGGACGCGCGCGCCAAGCAGTTCCCCGTGGCCTTCGGGGGGAAGATAGGGCGCGCCGGCAGCCGGAACGAGCCGGGGTCGTTGGCGGACCGAATGGACGAAGAGGAGGAGGTAGAGGACGAGGAGGAGGAGGAAGAGGACAGCGAGAGGAGGAATGGGGGGCGGCGGCGGCGGAGGAGGAGGACGCGGGGCAGCGACGGGTCGTGGAGTCGCGGCGATGACGACGGGAGCGACGACGAAGACGGCGGCGACGAGAGGGTGGAGGCCCTGGAGGCCGCGTTCGCGCAGAAGGTGCGGGACAAGGAGGAGGCCTGCGCTCGGCTCGCCGAGCAGAAGCGGCAGCTGCAGCTGGAGCTGCGGCGCGTCGACGCGGAGAACCGGACGCTGCGGCGCCGCCTGCAGGAGACGGAGCCGGGCGGCGGAGCGCCGCACAGCACCGACAGCAGCTCCATGGAGAGTCTGCGCAGCGTGAGCGTGGGCGACGTGAGGCCGTGCCGCAAGGCGCCCTCTTTCGCCGGCCCCGACCCGGCGGCCCCGGACGACTCGCTCTGGAGCGCCGTCGGGAGGTCCATCGGCACGGCCGAGCGAGGGGGCGCGCCCGGCGGCGGCGCCGCGGCCGCCCTGGCGGCGCGGGCGGAGCGCGAGGAGGAGCTCCGGCAGCTGAGCCAGGTGAGCCGGGTGAGCCAGGTGAGCCGGGTGGGAGTCTCCTCCGGGGGCGCGGCGCGGCGGCACGACCACAGCGCAGCGGATCTGGCATTGCTGCGGCCGTGCACAATCATGCACTCTCTTCCTGTTCTCCCTTCACACGTCCCTACACTCCTTCCCTCTGCTCACTGTCTCTCACTGTTCTCTCTCCCTCCCTGTGCCCTCCCCCCTCTCTCTGTCCATCTATCACCATGGCCTCTCTCCATGTCTGCCTCTCTGCCTCCCTTTTCCCTTCTCCATTCCCCGTCGCTCTCTCCCTGTTGTCCCCCCGTCCCTTCTCTCTCCTCTTTAGATGTCCCTCCTCCTCCCTCTCTGCCCCTCTTTCTCCCTCTACATCTCTTTCCTGCTCCATCTCTCTCTTTTCTGTCTGTCCTCTCTCACTGTGTCTCCGTGTCCCACTCTCTCCGTCTCCTCTCCATCTCTCCTTATCGCTCTCCCTGTCTCCCCCTTCCTCCCATCTCCACGCATCACCCACCGTCACCACCCACAGTCACTACCCACCGTCACCACCATCAACACCACCCATCACCACCACCCATCATCACCACCCATCACCACCCATCAGAAGCAGACACATGCCCTCTTCATATTCCTCCCTCCACATAACAATCAGAAGTTGTGCATTATTTTGCACATGCCATTCTTTAAAATAAAATAATATTAAAACTCCTATTAGCACGGTTGGCTACGTACGGTGCGAAATAATTTCAAATTGCTTCGAGATATAGTCTTCAGAAGCCTGCTGTGTAGGGGGAGACCCTGAGTGAGACTCTCCTGTTTAAACAAGTGGAATGAAGATGAAGATGATGCTGATGTTGGTTATAATGATGATTTTGACGGATGTTGATGACGGCGATTATGACGTTGCCGATGATTATGACGACGACGACGTCGATGCTTCGGCAGGAGAAGGAGCGCCTGTGCGTGGAGCGGGCGGCGCTGGTCAGCGCGCTGTGCCAGCAGGGAGAGCGCGTGGCGCGCCTGGCGCGGGAGAACGCGCGCCTGCGCCGCCTGCTGGACCGCGCCGGCGCGGCCGGCGGGCCCTGGCCGGGAGAGCACGGGGAGGAGGAGGACGAGGAGGAGGAGGAGCGGTCAGACGAGACCTGGGGGGGGTTCCCGGGGTCCCCCCACCCCGCCGAGAGCCTCGACTCGGTCAGCGCGAGGAGCAGCGCCAGCGACGTGACGCCCAGGAGAGGAGGGGGAGGGGCGGCGGTGCCGTGGGCCGGCTCGGCCCGGGAGCGACCCGGGGGACGACGTCGCGCCGACGCGAGGTCGCCGTTGGGGGGCCCCGGGGACGATGCGGCCTCGCGGGGGGCGCGCACGGACAGCGGCAGCAGCGCGTAAGGCAGCCCCCCCCCCCCACACACAGACGTGCACGAGCCGCGCCCCCCGCTACGGCACACGCCGTGACGAGGCAACGCCCCACAGCGCACGCTGTGGGGGTGGGGGGGGGGTGTCCCCCCCACCCCCATAGGCGGCGTGGAGGCGGCGCGGTGAGGCTGTCACTGGCGCTGATAGCGCAGGAATTTGCGCGATCTGCTCACGCGTTCTTGCGCAGCCATGCGGAGTGGTGCGGTAGCCGTGCCTGCCACTGTCATTCCTGCGTGTGCGTGTGTCACTGTGTGTGTGTGCTGGCCACCCCACTCCCCTCGTGTGCTGTGCCGGCCTTCATAGGTGCTCGCTGACAGCACTTGCCCCAACAGTCTGTTCAGGCTACACGGGCGGTCTTTTTCTTTACGTTGAACCGTGCTAATCGGAGGTGCGGGTGTTTGTCCGTGTGTGTGCGCGGCTCTGTGTGTGTGCGCGGCTCTGTGTGTGTGCGCAGCTCTGTGTGTGTGTCCTTGAGTGTGTCACTGTGTGTGTCACTGCGTGTGTGCAGCGAGTTGGTATCCGCAGCGCAGTCCGCAGGGAGTGGGGATATTTGTTCAATCTCCGTGGAAATGTTTTTGTTTCCTGCCCATGGAGCTGTAGTTTCCACATTGGAGAGCGGCGTGCGGCGTGCGAGGCCGCGCCACGGAGCGGTCACGCCCGCGTGTCCCCCCCCTCGCTTGCGGTGCCGCCTGCTGCCAGCTGATGCGGCGTGGCTGAGCGTGTGCGGGGGAGGGGATTGGTGGCGCAGCGGTTAGCGTGCTGCGTTGCGAACCCCAAGGACCCGAGTTGATTCCCGATCACGGCCAACACCCGTGACGATTATCTGAACCGATTCTGGCCTTCCCCTAGGGCGGCGTTCTTAATTGCAAGGCCCCACGGGCCACTGGCGGCCCCTAGTGGCCTTTAGTGCGGCCCCTGACGCGCGGCCCCTGACAATGCACAAAGAGTGAAAACACCACCCCAGCATCATCATCATCACTGTCATCGTGCTGCTGTCAAACCCCCAATGGTTTTAGCCCTCACACTGATGATGACTTTTTTCGGCAAAAGTGCCCCCTCCTCCGAACATTACTGCCCTAGGTTAATAATTACCTGGTGCGGTGTGCAAACATCGCGACTGGGGAGACAAAGGCGGTCAGGCGTGGTGCCGGCCACCCACCCCCTCGTGTGCCGTGCCGGCCTTCGTAGGTTCTACTCTCCGGCAGCACTTGCCCCGACAGTCTGTTGAGGCTACACAGGGGCTCTTTGTCCGTGTGCGCGTGCCTGCCGCCGCCCCAGGCTGCTGTGCCAGTCGCCCGGCTCGGGAGTGCTGGCGGGCGTGGAGCTGGAGCAGCTGCTGGAGATCCAGACGCAGCTGAGCGAGTCGCTGCTGGCGGCGGAGCAGGAGTGCCGGGAGGCTCGCGCCACGGTGGCCGCGCTCTCCCGGCGCGAGCGCTCCGACCTCGCCGCCGCCCGGGGAAGCCGGACGCCGGGAGAAGGTCGCGGCGCGGGACGGGAGGGCCCCCTGCCCACGCCGGCGCCGAGGCAGCTGCTGAAGGGCGGCCGGCCGGGCCGGGAGAGGAGCGCCACCCCGGACGGGGCGCCGGCGCTCCGCAGCGCCCACACGCAGACGGAGGAGGCGCGGGAGGCGAGAGCGGTGCCGAGTGGCGCTAACGACGGCGACGAGGAGGACGGCGACGTGAAGAGAGGTCGCGCCGAGGTCGGCCGCCTGCGGGAGGCGATGGCGCAGGTACGGAGCGGCGGCGCTGTCCTTTACCCCCCCCCCCGCCCCGTCCATGGCTGTGCCGGTGTCTTCGAGCCGATCCGGCCACACGGCTCAGCGGGTTGCGAGTTCAACTCCTGATTGGGGGTTGACTCAGTCCATCATCCTTCCAGGGTCGATAATACGAGTACCACTTTGTGGAGAAGTCAATAGTGGTCATCCTATAGATAGACTTACCCCTGCCATGGGAATGTGGAACCAATTACTGGGGGTGCGCAATCCGCCCCCCCCCCCCCCCGCGCCCCCGACGACCCGTGTGGAGGCTGCGCCGCGGCGCGCCCGGCGAGGAGGAATGCCGTCGCGGTGACTCGAGTGGCGCGCCCACAATTAGTGGGCGCGCAAAGTCAACGTCGGTCCCCCATTGTGCCGAGAAAACAATCACCCCACCGCACCACCACCGCCACCGCCACCACCGCCGTCCCGCGGTCACTCACGGTGCCGTGCTCCGGCCGCCGTCGACCGCGCGTTTCAGACTTTTCACCGTTGAGGCTGCGGCGCAACGCAGCCTCTCGTTGTGTGCGGCCGCTGCTTGGGGATCGGCGATTCCCAGTCGACGTCCAGGCGATGACGCTGTCGCGGAGCGGCGATCCTGACGCTGTCGCGGAGCGGCGATCCTGACGCTGTCGCGGAGCGGCGATCCTGACGCTGTGGCGGAGCGGCGATCCTGGCGCGAGACGGAGCGGTGTCTATCCAGAGATGCGCTGCGGAGGAAAGTGGAGTTTAGAGTCCTCACCCCGAACTGCCGGCAGATTTGGGCACCGCCCGACACCACCGTGCCGTGTGCCACAAGTGCACGTGTGCGTCACGTGACACTGCCGTGTTCGTGTGCCACGCACGCGACACGGTCCATGAGATCCGCTTCGCGTGTCCTGGAAAGCTCCGGGAACTTCCGGATAATTTACATCGCTTGGGCCTCTCGAGCCCTTCCATAACATGGTCGTAATCTACAATGTGATTATAATTTTATTATAATTTACAACGTTATTCTAATTTACATCACTTATTCTCTCAAGCCCTTCGAGAACATAACTCAAACTTACATCCCTCGGCTATCAATGCGATAACATCATTAGCCTGTGCATCAGTCACCCACATATCTAGCAGGCCTTTAGAACGTCTTCATAACGTGCATCGCTTAGCTTCGGTATCCTTTCACAAGGACATCGTCACGTTTTACATCGTCACGTTTTACATCGTCACGTTTTACATCGTCACGTTTTACATCGTCACGTTTTACATCGTTACGTTTTACATCGTCACGTTTTACATCGGCCGCTCGAGTCAGGACGGTCCCGACGAGTGGTTCCCACCACTGTGGTCTATTGCACAAGTCACGTGATGGTCAATAAGAAGCGAGGTTGTAGTTTTTTTATGGCCGTTTAACCGACACTCAACAGCGCTCGCGGAGTTTTATTGGAGGGATGTAGCCCTATTGGCGTGCGGTGGCACGTGAAACGTGTGTGAGAGCTGGCGGTGGTGCCGGTGCCGAAACGTTGGGCACCGTTGCTCTGTCCGCTCGTGTTAGATGGCATGATGTAGTTCACCACCATCGACATCGTCGTCATCGTGATCATCATCATCACACACTGGGGTGTGAGCTGTGATGTGATGATGGGATGATGTGATGATGGGCGATATGACAGGACACGTGATGACGTTGTGATGGGATGATGGGATGATGGGTGATATGACAGGACGTGTGGTGACGTGGTGATGGGATGATGTGATGATGGGCGATATGACAGGACACGTGATGACGTGGTGATGGGATGATGTGATGATGGGCGATATGACGGGACACGTGATGACGTGGTGATGGGATGATGTGATGATGGGCGTTATGACAGGACACATGATGACGTGGTGATGGGATGATGTGATGATGGGCGATATGACGGGACACGTGATGACGTGGTGATGGGATGATGGGATGATGGGTGATATGACAGGACGTGTGATGACGTGGTGATGGGATGATGTGATGATGGGCGTTATGACAGGACACATGATGACGTGGTGATGGGATGATGTGATGATGGGCGATATGACAGGACACGTGATGACGTGGTGATGGGCGGCGTCCCAGCTGTGAGATGCAGGAATGACCGGCATGCACTCACCCCTCGAGGGGACCCCCTGTGGGGGGGGGGGGGGACTGACCCGGCCCCACCAGTCCGGCCGGTCCGTACAGTGGACCACAGCCCCATACAGTGCGCCAACACCCGTGGTCACCTTGTGTAGTGAGGGGCGGTAAATCAAAGAGATTACCTCACCTGTGCTCACCTGGGTTTACCTGTGCTCACCTATCCCCGCCGTGCCCACCTGTGCCCACCTGTACTCACCTGTGCCCACCTCTGCTCACCTTTGCTCACCTGTGCTCGCCACAGTTATGACCGTGGCAGCTTTCTCACGATATTAACTCGGTTTGTGGTGCGGAGTTATTCCAGTGGCCTAGGGGATTGACCTGGCGGTAGCTCGAGGGGATTGAGATGAGTGGAGCTCGGGGACTGGCTCGATACCAGGTGCCCTGGAAGTACAGTCCAGCGACTCCATGAATGCTCCAATGCGTTCTGTTCAAGTTTCCTTTAATCGAGGTGGCTATGGCTCAGCTGCCCGTGGTTTAACCGGGTCCTCAAGTGCAGCGGGTTGATGGTCTAAGCCCAGTCACACCCAATGACTGCACACAAAAAAAACTAACTTATCATTCAATGTATTTTTGCTGAATTCAGCTGATGCCAACTCTGTTGTCTCAACTTGTTGCGGTTTGATTGGCATGCGACAGACGGCTCTGTCGCCGGGCGAGCGAGAGGTTGGAAGTCACAGGAGCTATGAAGTACCTCTGTAACGTCGTCTTCCACGTGCCGTTCTCTTACACGGGCCGATGCCAACGTGTTCTGCGGCGGTTCTGACAAAGTTAATGTCGCTAACAGCATCGCAGCGGTAACATTTTGGAGATTTTTTCACTCGAACCGATTTTTTGCGTTTCTCCTCCGCCTCCCCGCAGCTCCAAGCGCAACGGGAGACGCAGCAGCTGGAGATGGAGCGGAGGGTGGAGGAGCTGAGCGACGCGCTACAGGAGCGCCAAAGCGAGGCCGCGCGGCTGCAGGAGGAGCTCGTCTCAACGCGGTCGCAGCTCCGCGGCGAGGACCAGCGGCGCGAGCAGCAGCTGCACCGGGAGATTGAGAGGTTGGGACGGGAGAAGGAGGAGCTGCTGGAGAAGCAGCAGGCCTCGTCGAGGTCGCAGCTGCAGGCCGAGTCTCAGCAGCGCGAGCAGCAGCTGAGGCAGGAGGTGGAGAGGTTGGGACGGGAGAACGAGGAACTGCAGACGGAGCTGGGAGCGGCGAGGCAGCAGCTCCAGCATCGCGAGGAGCGGCTGAGCCGGGAGATTGAAATGCTGAGGCTGGAGAAGGAGGGGCAGGAGAAAATGTTGAGCTCAACAAAGTCACAGCTTGAGGGCACAGCTCAACTTCGTGAGGAGGAGCTGACGCGGGAGATGGAGAAACTGAGGTCAGAGAAGCAAGAGCTGGAGAAAAAGTTGACCTCGTCGAAGTCCCAGCTGCAGGCGAAGTCTCAACAACGCGAGCAGCAGCTGAGGTTGGAGGTGGAGAGGTTGGGACGGGAGAAGGAGGAGCTGCAGAAGGAGCTCGAAGCGGCGAGGTCGCAGCTCCAGGTCAGGGTTCGGCACCTTGAGGAGGAGCTGAGACAGGAGGTGGAGAGGTTGGGACGGGAGAAGGAGGAGCTGGAGAAGCAGCTGGGCTCGTCGAGGTCGCAGCTGCAGGCCGAGGCTCAGCAGCGCGAGCAGCAGCTGAGGCAGGAGGTTGAGAAGTTGGGACGGGAGAGGGAGGAGCTGCAGGGAGAGCTGGAAGTGGCGAGGCAGCAGCTCCGCAGCGAGGCCGCGCGCCACGAGAGCCAACTCGGCCTCGCGGTGGACAAGCTGAGGAGCGAGAAGGAGGGCGCGGAGAGGGAGCTCGCCTCGAGCCGCTCGCAGCTCCACGGCCAGGCCCAGCTGCGCGAGGCCGAGCTGGCCCGAGAGGCAGGGGCCCTGCGCGAGGAGAAGGAGGCCCTGCGGGCCGAGCTGAGCGGCGCCCGCGCGCGGCTCGCCGAGGAGGCCGCGGACCACGCGGCCGAGCTGGCCCGAGCCGGTGCCGAGCTCCGGCAGGGGCGAGCGGATCTGGAGCGGGGGCTCCGGGCCGCCGCCGAAGCCCGGGCCCGCCAGGCCGAGCTGAGCCGGGCCGTCGAGAGCCTGCGGCTCGACAAGGACGGCCTGGAGAAGGAGCTGAGCGCCGCCGGGACGCGTCTGCAGGGCGAGGCGGAGCGACGCGAGCAGGAGCTGAGCCGGGCGGCCGAGGCCCTGCGGCTGGACAAGGCCGCGCTGGAAGAGCGCGTGGCCGCGCTGCAGCAGCAGAGGCTCCGGCGCGACGAGGCGGCCGCCCGGACCGTCGAGGAGCTGCGACGGGAGAACGACGGCCTGCGCGGGGAGCTGAGCGCCGCCGCCGCCGCCGTGGCGCGCAGCCCGCCCCGCGAAGAGGAGCGGGGCCTCGGGCAGGAGAGGGACAAGCTGCGGGGAGAGCTGGGCGCCCTGCGCGGGGAGAAGGCCGGCCTGGAAGCGGAGCTGGCCCGCCTGTGGGAGGGCCTCGACGAGCTGGAGGACGAGGTGGAGCAGCACCGCGCGCTCAGGCGCCACGGGGACCACCGCCTCGCCGAGATGCAGGGTGAGGCCCCCCCCCCCCCCGCTCGCTCCGCCGTGGCGTCTGCGGAAGCTTCGGCTTCCTCGGCCTTCAGTTCTCGATAGCGAAACGCTTTTGTTGTTGGCTGCCGCATTCGTCCCGGGCTTTGGGCCGGCGGATTGAAGCTCGGAGTTTCTGCGCGCTGGGAGGAGGCGGCGGCGGGGCCCGCGTCTCGGCACTGTGTGAAAGAGCTTTATAGCTCATCGGATTCCTCCTGCGGTACAAATAAGGATTCTGATTCTGACAGCGCTGCGACCGCGCTGTGGCCAGCAGGGGGCAGCATCGCTCCGCGTGTCTCGCCGCAGCAGACCGAGCAGGTGGTTGGGGGGGGGGGTCTGAGTTGGGGCAGGCTCTATCCCCTGCTAGGTGGAGCTGGTAGGAGTCGGCCGGGCTCGCTCCACTGCTAGCTGTATCTCTGTCTTAGAAAGTTGAAGTGGTTAATCCATCATTGGGGGGCACGTGTGCCCCCCACTGGGCGGTGACTTACCACGTGTGGGGGGGGGGGGGGGGGGGCGGGACTTGGGGTGGGGGGGGAAGTGTTGACTTTCGTTTTCTGTCGTAGAGGAGTTTAGACGTTTGTAAAGTTGTATATAAATAATTCACTGTGTAACAAAAAATATGTTTTTGTTCCTGGGTAGTAAGTGTTATTTTCCAATTGCTTATGGCCTCAAAAGTACAGAAAATGGCTAGTATTCCCCACAAAGCTTTTGTGACCAGGACAATGGTAACACGTCAAGTCCTGGTCACAAAAGCAAAGTTTGTGGGGAGTACTAGCCATTATGTATACTTTTGAGGCATGAGCAATTAGAAAATTACACTTACTACCCAGGAACAAAAATCGTGTTAAATAGTGATAATCTTTTACCCCTCCCGCCACGCTACATGTTGCTGGGTACAACCAGGGATTAACTGGACCTTATGGCGGTACCCCGGGGTACCATAGCACCCCGGCTCTCGCTTAATGTCCGTGATGCAGTAATTTTTAGTCTGTTGATGGTCGTCGATGCAGCGATCGACTCATCTCGACGAGCTGTGCACTATGATGCACCACGACGGTGCGTGCCGCGAGCGTTCATGGTTTCAGCGCAATCGTCCTTGCTGCGTTATCGACATCGCGGAGTAGCACTGATTACGGATTGGTTGGTACCCCAGTCACGGAGTGAAGTACACCCCTGGACAAGAATAGTGTCCCAGAAATAACATATTCAATTGCCTCGGCCAGTTTGTGTTATTTGGCCCCCCGGGGTACCACCGTGAGGATCAACTTCTCATGGAATAAATTCCAGCGCCCCCCAACAACCCAACCCTCTGGACCACCACATCCCCACCCACCACCCAACCCCCGACAGTGAGGGAGACATATTTTCTAGAGCTCAGCCCCCGGCTGCGTCTTCCACTCCACCTGATTTGCCAACCGTGTTCCCAGTTGCCGTGGATGCATCAGCAGAACCTGAGTTGCGGGCGCCGGCTGTTTAATCCGTGTTCCAGCGCTCCACGGTGGCGAGGTGTGAATGACCTCGCCTGGTGTGAACAAGGTCGTGGGTGCAATCCTGACCCTGGTGCTGGGATACATTTTTAATTTGCATGCTCTGCCTGTGGTCGCGTGGATTTTTCTCCGGGTCCACCAGTTTTTCCCTCCACATTTGGAAACACGCTTTCAGAGTATTTGGCTGCGATAAATTTCCATGTGATAAGCCACATCTTTCTGAGCTATCATTTGTGGCCAGGTCGCTTCTGAAAAATAGCTGTCTACCTCAGTGGGCCCTGCCTGGTAAAAGAAAAAGAAAACGTTTAGTTTCCCTTCATTATGTTCACTTCAAAGTTGGTGACCGTGGCGCTTTTGTTGACTTTGGGAGAGCGTTCGATCGTCTCAATCGGACGCAGTTGTTGGACGTTTCTCAAGAACATTGGATTCGATCGGAGAGACAGGAGGCTGATTCCGGGCCTTACCCGTGGGACAAACATCAGCGGGAGTCACGGGTGGAGAATGATATCCAGGAATCATAGCAGAGCAGGGGGCAGTGGGGCACAGTCGCCCGCTGTCAGCCATCAGATCGCTGGTTAACGACTCCGTTAAATCGCGATCCGGCCACGGCTAACGTCAGCGGCGATGGACATGTGAACCACTGGGCCGCGTGGCGAAGTACGGTCAAACAACCTCCGTGGCTGACAATATTGTGAGCAGGTGGTCATCCAGCAGTGGGTTGATAATGGTTTGTACAATGGCGATGATGTTTAATCTCTCATAATGTTTTGGTTGAATATACTAATCGCATCTCACGATCGTTAGGGAACTCCAGACAAGTGGGGGAGGCAGCAGCAGTAGCCAGGAGCTGAGTCGACGCTACAATAGTTTCTCCAAGCTCTGCAGGAAACTTTGACGGGTCTTGATGATGGCGAGTAAAAGCTGGTGGGCAAAGGGTTAAATCAGTTCCTGTTTGCTGCCCATTCTGAGAAGGGGCTGGAAAAGTCTCTTGGATGGTTTCAATTAAATTATCACGGAGCATGGCGCGGCACGGTGCGATTATCGCTGCGGCGACGGTAAGCGTCCCGCGGTCTCCCGAGGTGGGGGGGGTGGGGCAAGCGGTTGTGCCCGAGAGTGGGGGGGGGGGGGCTTGGCACGAGCCCGGTTCTGCTCCTGAAACAGCTCCCAGGATGTGGAGCGGAACGTCGGACATCGTGCCAAACACTGCAAATCCGTCGGAGTAAATATATTGGGCCTGCGGCGCGCGCGATGGGAATCGATCGGCGTCGCGGCCATCGGAGACCAGCGGGGGGCCACCAGACGGGCAGATTGGGCCGGCGCTGGGAGGCACTGGCGGACGGGGACAGGAACTCCGCGTCCCCTCCCTCCCGGCACGGTCAACCGTGCTGCCCTCGTCGCGTTCACTCGTCGCCCTCGTCGCGTTCACTCGTCGCCGATTCGAGTGCACGACCCGCGAGATGGAGCGACGGGAACGGCTCGAGTGCACGTGCCGGTTGAATTATTTCACCGCAGGGTCACGAGAGATTGAGACGGCTTGGGGGGAGGCCGGTCGTGGATCGACCATAGCCACTGAAGCTGATGGTGATAAATATAATATAAATATTATATCTGCAGCCGTCTGGTTGACACGCGCTTTTCGCCGTCTGCGAAATGGAAAACCGTGCAGAGCCCCGGCCTCCGTTAACCTCTGACCTTTCGTAGAGCTGAGTGCGTCCGACGGCTGATGAGGCCGGAGGCAAAAATGCCGAACCTCGGGGGAGCGCCCTCTCGCCGAGGAGAAATCGCCTCCCATTTGCCACCTGCCTGCCTGGGGGGCGGCTCGGGCGACGCCGATCAATGGCTCCGCGTGGCTCCGCGTGGCTCCGCGTGGCTCCGCGTGGCTCCACATGGCTCCGAGCGCCGCTCTGCTCGTTTCTCGTTTTCCGTCAAGAAGGAGAATTCCTGGAACCAATTTCTCTAAAAGCGCGCGTGGATGGCGCGGGCTCGTCCGTGCATCCACGTGCGTGTGTGCGGAAGACCCTGAAGCGTTGGCACTCGGGGCTTTAAGGGGCTTTTAAGGGGGCTGAGCCACTGCTGATGAACGCTCAGCCCCCCACCGTTCTTTGTTCTTCTGGTCAAATATTAGCCAGAAAATAATTGTGCTGAGCTGAGCTCCAGAATATGTTTCCTCAAGTAATTTGTGTGAAATTAAGGCCTGTGATGATCACAGCACCCTCATTGCAGCACAAATCCCATCGGATCTCGGGTTTGAGGCTGGTGATCGGTGCCTCGAGATCTCACGACCAGGGATTCCCAGGCGTGGGGCGGCGAGGTTGCGGCCAGTAAATGGTGGTGCTGTGCCCCCCCCCCCCCCCCACTCTGAGTGTCACCCCCCCAACCCTCTTCCGAGTTCTCACTCGTGGCAATTTATGATAATGAGGGTTATGATAAGTCCAGAATGAATACATGGTGGCGTTCTGGATTGGCTTCATTCAGCAGTGGATTTTTCATGGCTGACAACGACGATGATGACGATGAGGAATCGCCGAGATTGGAAGGGCGCTCGCTATTGGTCGATGTCGCGATTACTCCGGGGCGCCCGAGGCTTCGCGATCTGACGCCGTGCGCGCCCCGTGGGGGTTTGGAGCGTCCGGCCGTCGGCGCGTTAATTTTGTTTTAATTTTATTTTGTAATAAATCTTCTTCGGTTTCCCGTCCAGCGCCATGGGCGGCACGCGGCCCAAATCTGCACCGTCATCGCGCTCGAAGCCGCGGTGTCCGTTAACGCGCGCGAATACGCGCACCTCCCGCAACACCCTTTGTCGATCCACTGCTGGATGAGTGCCCATCCACGTCCTGGTGGGTGGAGGCCAGCCCATGCAGTCGCAAGATGGGGGGGGTTCTTTGACCATACTTCCCCGTGCCGGTTTGCACGGGTTAGCGAAGGGGAGGGCGACAGTACCGCTGTTGTTGGCCGTGGCTGGAAATCGGACTCTGATCGCCGGTCTCGTCGCGCGGTACGGGAACCACTGCGTCTCCACTGCCTCCCCTCCCCATCGAGGGTGTGGTGGTGCGAGGCCGCGTGGTCTCCCTGAAGGTCGGACGCGGTGCCCCCTACCGCGTGAACCGTAAAGGTCACGGATCTTGGAAGCAGTTCTGCGACGTCACCTTCCACGGACCTCGAACTAGCGCACGGGGCGACGCTCCGAAAGGATTCTTTGTCTCGCGGCGATCCACAGCGATCCACAACGAAGGTGCAATGAAATCCCAAATAATCAAACGACATGGAAACGACCGTTAGCGTTTTTATTTTCTCGTCACATTCTCCCGGTTCCTCCTCGAGGGCCAAGCTGCTCGGGGCCACGCGGCGAGCGCCTCTGCCCTCCCGGTCGGCCGTGAGGGCCGGCACGTACGTGAGGGCCGGCACGTACGTGAGGGCCGGCACGTACACCGGCGGGGACCGGAGGCTCGCGGCGTCCACGGGGACACCGCCGCCGCTCGATATTTATTTGCGAGACAATTACCGAGCCGGCTGATCGCTGCCGCTCGGCGCGACGCGCGTAATAAACGCGCCCAGGAGAGCACCGGAGGTCACTGCGGAGGAATCAAACACGGCCGCTTTCACGGCTGTCGGAGCCGCGCTAATGCAGGGCGCGGGAGGCTCGGCAGGACTGAGTGGGTCCCGCGTGGGCCTTGAATATTGATCGCGGCTCCACGGGGCTCCGCTCTCACGCTCCGCAACTCAACGACGCGTCCGCCGTTCGTGCCGCGCGTTCCGTTCGGCACCGCGTCCGACATTTCGCTCGGCGTTCCAGGGAGCTCGTTAAGAAATCGAAATGAGTTCAGCTTTATTTATTTGCTGAAGAAGCTTCCGGCACGTGGAGCGAACCGTCGGACGTCCTAACCGAACGACGGGCGGCACGACCCGGAATCCCGTCCACGGGCTGCCCCGATCGTGATCGATCGGCATCGCAGGCGATCGGGGAGACCCCCAGCCGAGCCGATGCCACGCGTGAAGCGGCGTCGCGGCCGTCGGGGCCCAGCGCCGGGAGGCGCCGGCAGACACCAACAGACGCACGTGTCCTCTCTCCCGGCACAATGAGCCCCTTAGCCCTGCGGCGTTTTGGCAATCGGTGGCGTCTTTTCCCAGCTTTGCGGGTGACCTTCCTCCCAAGCCAGTCTCGCCGAGGTTGAAGCCGCTTCCCGGTCGTGCAGAGGCCTGAACACCAGATTGACAGCCCTCTGTGCGAGGCCTGAATCGCTGGGAACCGGCGGCGCTACCGCCTCTGCGTCCGGTGCAATCGCACCCCTCCCCCTCACCGTCCCCCCCCTGCGTCTCACGATCGCTCATTAGCAGAGAGCTTAACGGCTCCTGATTACCGAGCCGGTTGGTGCGGCGTCCGTCGGGAAGCGAGGAGGAGTGAAGCCCTGCCGTGGAGGAGAAGCGATCGCGGGACACGCCGCTCGTGAGCGCCGTTCAGTCGTCGCCGTGCATTGCATTCACTCCACGTTAACTCCGTGCGTTCACTCCGTGCGTTCACTCCATGCGTTCACTCCGTGCACTGCGATAATGCTGCGAGTTCCCTACGCGTTCACTCCACGTTCACGCCGTGCGTTCACGCCGTGCGTTCACTCCACGTTCACGCCGTGCGTTCACTCCGTGCGTTCACTCCGTGCACTGCGATGATGCTGCGAGTTCCCTACGCGTTCACTCCGTGCGTTCACTCCGTGCACTGCGATGATGCTGCGAGTTCCCTACGCGTTCACTCCGTGCGTTCACGCCGTGCGCTGCATTCACGCCGCACTGCCGGTCTGACCCTCCGCAGGTGCGACGCAGAAGCTGGAGGACGAGAAGCTGAGTCTAGAGAAGCAGCTGAAGGTGCTGGAGAAGAAGATGAAGGTGAGCGGCGGCGCCGGTGAAGCGGCGGCGACGGCGCCGGTGATCCGGCACTCGCTCAGTAGCCGTCGGCCGCCTCCTCGTTGATCGTCTATCGCTGCTACCACGGTTACAGTCGTCGTGAACTTCGCTCGTTGATTCCGGCACCCGTGCTGAGGAGACTCCTGGGTGCTGTTTTGTCTCGTCCACCACGCTGTGCTCAACCACCACCAGCAACTCCCTCGCTCACTCGTACACTGTGACTCACCCACTCACCCAGCCACCCACTCACCCAGCCACCCACTCACCCACTCACCCAGCCACCCACTCACCCACTCACCCACTCACCCACTCACCCACTCACCCAGCCACCCACTCACCCACCCACTCACCCACTCACCCAGCCACCCACTCACCCACTCACCCACTCACCCAGCCACCCACTCACCCACTCACCCACTCACCCAGCCACCCACTCACCCACTCAGCCACTCACCCAGCCACCCACTCACCCACTCACCCACTCACCCACTCACCCAGCCACCCACTCACCCACTCACCCACTCACCCACTCACCCACTCACCCACTCACCCAGCCACCCACTCACCCACTCACCCACTCACCCAGCCACCCACTCACCCACTCACCCAGCCACCCACTCACCCACTCACTCACTCACCCAGCCACCCACTCACCCACTCACCCACTCACCCACTCACCCAGCCACCCACTCACCCACTCACCCACATGCCGCATTGCCACTTCCCGCCCACTGCTGGGCTGTGGGACTCCCTCTCCCATCGTCTCTCTTCCCCAAAGCTCTTGCGACAATCTTCTTGCTCGGCTCAGGACACGCGAGTGACTCTCATCACAGCACCTTCAACAGTGCTGTATGTTGCTGGCTGCTTGGCGCGTTTGGCCTTTGGGCCCGTGCTCAATAACCAACAACGATAATAAAGACACTCAAAAGTAAAGCTCTGCTTTCAAATTCACCAGAATCCCGCGAATCAAAACTTTTCGCCCGTAGAGTGTTTTTTGTTTTTGACCGCCAACGACCTCTCATGACCCCCGCCCCCCACAATGCACCAGGACGACGCGGATGAGTGGCGCCAGTTCCAGGCCGATCTGCAGGTCGCGGTGGTGATCGCCAACGACATCAAGGAGGAGGCGGAGGAGGAGGTGGCGTCGCTCAGACGCCGCCTGCAGGAGGCGACCTCCGCCGGCCCTCTGCACGACGGAGCCAGGTGGGTGACAGCGGCAGGGCCCGGCAGGGATGCGGCGCCGCTCCGGCACGATCCCGGCACGATCCCGGCACGATCCCGGCACGATCCCGGCACGATCCCGGCACGTTCCCGGCACGATCCCGGCACGATCCCGACGAGGTTCGAGCATCAAATAAATTGCCGCCACGGCGGAACGGTTATCGCGCGTGCGACTTTCGCATCCAGATGTCGATTCCATCTCCCGGCGTGGCGCTCGAAACGATAATGGCGCAAGTCTCCCTCTAACCTTGATCTCGGCTCGCCCGGACGCACCGCGCTTCAGTCGATGGGGATGCTGAACGAGTGCCGTGGTTTGGCGCCGCCAGGCCGGAGGAGACGGCGAGCGGCGGGCACAACGGGACCGTCGGCGATGGTGCCGCGACCCCGGCGCCGGCGACGCGAACCCGGCCGAATCCCGGCACCGCCAATCCTAAACCCGCGCTGAAGCCACGGGGGCCCCCAGGTGCCGCCACACGCCCCCCCCCCCTCCCCCCACCACGCGTCACACAGGTTCGCTGTGGTCAGTCGCCCCCTTGTCTCTCTTCTATCGCTACTGGCATGGTTACAGTTCCTGTGAACTTCACTAATTGATTCCTCGAACCCATCATGAAGACTGTCATCCACACAGTGTACAAGCACCAGACTGCAGGACACAACAACGCACTCGCTCAACAGTCTCGCTCATTCACACACGCACACACCCACTCATCCGCTCCCCCACCTACCCATTCACAAACTCGCTCGTTCACTTTGCTTAAGTCAAGAAAGATGACTAACTATTATCTCTTACACCCTTCAATCGTGCTGCTTGTTGCTGGCCACTTGGCATTTTGGGCAATTGGGATCTTCAACTGTTTATTAAACATTTAAAAAGACTTGGGGTGGGTGCGCGTGTGGTGTGTGCGGTGTATGTGGTGCGTGCGGTGCATGTGGTGCGTGTTGTGTGTGTGGTGCGTGCGGTACGTGTGTAGGAAACCGCGATGAGGTTGGCGGAGCGGCTAAAGGTGGGAGCCCCACCCCAGCCCTGCCCGGCGCCGTCAAGACCCCCCCAGCCGCCACCGTCGCCCCAACACAGGTGGGCGCTCGACTCGGGGGGGGGGGGGGGGGGGGGGTCCAGTCTAGCGGGCGACCCGAGCAGGTGGCAAGAAGCAGGCTGTGTGTGCGCAGGGCGTGTATCCGCGGGGCGCGTACCCGCGTGTCCCAGCGCGGTCGCAAAGATGGACGCGAGGGGTTCCGTCGCTCCCGTGGCTAAACCGGCCAATCAGCTGATGCAACGTGGCTGCCAATGTTGGGGAGAGAAATAAAAGAAACATTCCACCGTGCGTGGAGACGGGACGGGGAGCAGCAGCTCGTGTCCGACCACCAGGGGGTGCGTGCGGACGGGGCCGAGCGCACGACGGGACGGGCACCGCGATCGTCTCGCTAACGAGTGTCTCCCGTCCCCGTCCTGCAGCAGCGTCCCTCCCACAACGGCTCCGCCGCCCCGTCCTGGTCTGCGCTGCCTCTCAAGGAGAGAAAACCGAGCGTTTCCGACCGTGAGTTCTCCTCCCGACGCGATGCAGCGCCACCCGCGCCCCCCGGTGCCCCCCGCACACACAGCGTTGTGCCCGACGGTTCTGAGACGCCGGTGCGACGCTTCTCTTCCTCCGTCGACAGGCGCGGCCCAGGGCGGGGAGCGGAGTGACGGTGCCCCCCTCTCCCCCGGCGTCTCCCCCCCTGCGTCGCAGTGCAGCTCCCCGACGGGCTCCACGCCGTACGGCACCCCCAGGTACGGGGTGCTTTGGCACGACACCGCCGAGATCACCGCGACGTGACGATTACCGCATTCGACGCATTCACCGCAGCACCGCGATCACTACGATCACCACTCGGTTACCCAGCGACTCACGCCGCCGTGGGGGCGGCGTGGGTGGCTTGGTGAGCGAGCGGGGAGAGAGTGAGTGATTAGTCGCCTGTCCCGGATCGATCGGTGCCGCCCCCCTCCCGCCCACCGCGCCGTGTGGCCGGTGCTTTGTAGTCGTCCCGCGGCCGTGTTGCTCGCTGACCTTTGCAGCCCCTCCACCCCCCCACCACCCCCAATAATCGCACATCTATCAGCTGTGTTGCCTACACACGTGGGTGCGTGTGTTCGTCGGATGGAATGGTGGCAGCGTGGTTAGCGCACTGCGCTGCGCTACAGACCCAGGGAATTTGGTTTCTAGCCACGGCCGCACCGGCGGTGAACGTCTGAACCTGTCCAAGGGCCTCCTTTAAGTCAATTCTGCCTCCAACGAATACCCGGCAACCGATGTTGGCGTTGTCCACACCGCCGGCTCCCGTGCCTAACGGCGCGGGCGTGCCGACCGCAGGGACGAGCACGGCGACCCGCTGGCCGAGCTGGCGCGACTCTACGGGGGCTCCAAGCGGAACGCTCTGCTCAAGTGGTGCCAGAAGAGGACTCAGAACTACTCGGTGAGTGCGGCGCTCCGCTCGCGTCGCCGCGCGGCGTCAGAGCACGATGGGGGGCCTGGGGGCCGGGGTGACGCACGGATTGGAACCCGCGCCGCCCCTCGGGTCCCCTACCCCCTCGGCCACAGCTCCTCCACGCAACACAACCTGGGCCCCCTCCCCTCCCGACTCGACCCGCAGCCCTCCCACCCCTACACTAACCGTACCACCCACCCGCCCCCCCCTCCTCATTGATTGGCGGCGCTCATTACCGCCGCTGGAAAACCCAAAACAGGAGCGGCTCGATTGGCGCGACTTTGGCGCCCGTCGGGGGAAGTCTTCTTCCCCCGAGCCGCGGGAGACGCTCCTCCGTGCCGATTACCGAGAGAGTCGCCGGATCGCTCGCGGGGATTCGTGCTCGGGGAAAAAACCCCACAACACCTCGTGCAGAGACGTCCGCGCTACAAACACCCAAACACACACCCACACACACATCCACACACACACACATCCACACACACACACATCCACACACACACACACATCCACACACACACACATCCACACACACACACATCCATACACACACATCCACACACACACACATCCACACACACCCACATACACACATCCACACACACACACACACATCCACACACACACACATCCACACACATATCCACACACACACACATACACACACACATACACACACATACACACACACATCCACACACACATACACACAACAACAACCGCCATTCGCCACTAAGTGGCGGTGACGTCACCACGACGCTTGTGCCAGGCCACGTGCACCTTGAGGCCACGTGAAGTGTCGAATGCCCGCTGGCAGGAGGTCACGGGGCAGACCCAGGTGCCACGGGTCGACTGACTGAGATGACTGAGATGACTGGCTGATGCACCACCTGTGCCCCCGACTGTGCCAACTTGCTGTTGTGAGCGTCGCTCCGCTCGTTGTTGTGAGCGTCGCTCCTCCGCCCTCCGTTGTTGTTGGAGGGCGACTGCCTCCAACTGCCAAGTAGCATCCTCCACGAGCGTCCTCCACAGACGCACACATCCACACACACATACACACACACACACATCCACACATCCACACACACATCCACACACACACCCACACACATCCACACACACATCCACACACATCCACACACACATCCACACACACACACGGCAAGACGCTGGCTAGTCTCTCACAGTGTAAAAACGACGTCAACTTGGAGCACTGCGCTGCCACTGACGTGGTGGTGACGTGGCGGTGACGTGGGGGTGACGTGGCGGTGACGTGGTGGTGACGTGGTGGTGACGTGGCGGTGACGTGGCGGTGACGTCGTGGTGACGTGGCGGTGACGTGGCGGTGACGTGGCGGTGATGCCCACGAGCTCTTTTGGCCTTTCGGAGCACCGTCTTCTGTGGGCGCCCCCGTGGCGCCGTGAGCAGAGGGCAGCGCAGCAGCGGAATCCATCCACACAGGGCACCTTCATCAGCCCACACTGACCAGCTTGGTGAAGTGAGGTCGAATCACCCCCACAGCGTGCTGCACAGCGCGGACAGTCCCCCAAATTGGCAGCGGATGAACAAAGCGGCTGTGCGCGTTACGCAGCGTGCGGCCGTGCTGTTGCTGCTGCTGTTGAGAGGGGAACATTTGCGTGCTGGTTGAGGGACCCAGGTGGGCCGCAAAGCTAAGTAGTAGATTTCGATTTAAAGCTTTCGTGACTGCAGGGATTCATCTTCTTGGTTCTTTCGGTAAAGTCACGTAGAAGGGAAGTAATAAAATAATAAAAATAAAACAAAATAAAATAATTCTCACGACGTTTCGGCCACAACGCAAGCAGCCGTCCTCAGGTGAAACCAGGTCTGTCGAGGCGACAGCGTCTGAAATTCAGTCTGAAATTCAGTCTGAAACGTCGTGAGAATTATTTTATTTTGTTTTATTTTTATTATTTTATTACTTCCCTTCTACGTGACCTTACCGAAAGAACCAAGAAGATAAGTAGTAGATGTTTACAATTTCCTCCATTGGCGATGAGCGCGTTGATCGATCCGCATGCGATGATCGCCGAGGCATCGCGAAGTACGATGTTTATTACACGTCCGTCCACGTGTGCGTGCGAGCATACGGGGCCGTGCGCGTCCATTTCACGGAGTTCGCCTTTCCCGTTTCGCGGGCTCCGTGTTTGGTGCGGGCCGCTTCGCTGCTAGACTCCAGAGGCCTACGCGTGCGCCCCGAATGCCAGCGGGGTCGGGGGGGTCACCGCTCGTTTAGCGCCGCGTGCGAACGCTGAGACCTCCGCTGAGACCTCCGCCGAGACCTCCGCCGAGACCTCTGCTGGGACCTCCGCTGGGACCTCCGCTGAGACCTCCGCTGAGACCTCCGCTGAGACCTCTGCTGAGACCTCTGCTGAGACCTCCGCCGAGACCTCCGCCGAGACCTCCGCCGAGACCTCCGCCGAGACCTCCGCCGAGACCTCCGCCGAGACCTCCGCCGAGACCTCCGCCGAGACCTCCGCCGAGACCTCCGCCGCCACCGTGGCGCCCTGCTGCCCCCCGGCCCAAGCAGGAGCTGAAGTCGCCGGGGTGATAGCGGCCACGGTGATGGCGGTCGTGGTCACGGTGGTGGTGTCGGTGGTGACGGTAGTGGTGGCGCTGGGGGTGGTTGGTGGCAGTGGTGACAGTGGTGGTAATCGTGACGGCAGTGGGGGTGAGCATGGTGGCGGCGAAGGTGGTTGTAGTGGTGGCAATGTTGGTGCTGGTAGTTGTTGCGGGTGGTGGTGGTTGTATATATATATTTATTTATCCCCTTTCAATCTCCTCCACTTTGTCTCTTTCCACGCGTTCATTTGTTCTGCTCCATCGACCTACACGAAAATGGCATATTGACATTTTCCTCAACAGTTTAGCCACGACACATCAAAGTGGGGGGGGGGAGGGTGGAGGGGGTTGGGGCATCGATTGTTGTGAGATGGTGAGCCCTGGCACGGCGGGGGGGGGGGGGGGGGCAGATGGCCGGGAGCCTGGGGTGGGGGTCGGGGGGGTGGGGGTGTCGTGGTAGCGGGTCGTGGCGAGCGCTACATCTGCCAACATTGGTCGCACCGCCAACGGAGATTCAGGGGACACGGCCGCCACCGTCCTGGCGACGATCGTCCCGGCCCCATCGCTCACGGAGCCCCCCGGGGGGCGACCCCGGCCCCCCCCCCACCCCCCCAACGAACGATGAGGCCCGCACGATCCTCCCGGCGGCGTCTCCGACATTTGCTGGGTCAGAGGTCATGTCGTGGTTGGGTGGCGGACGAGGAGGTTGGGGGGGGGGGGGTAATGCGGGACGGCGATGAAATGAAAGGGGGATGATGGAGATCGAGGTGGCGGAGAGTAAATGGATGAAGGGGAGGTTGATGATGAGAGAGAGTGGGGGGGAGGTTGGGAGAATGAGAGGGTGGGATGGTGGAGATTGACGAGTGATGAGGGTGCGGGGAAGGAAAGGGTGGAGGATGGGGAGCGATGGAGGGTGGGAGGGGGGGGATGCGATGGAGGAGAGTGGTGGGTCACCGTGGCGAGGCTTCATGATCCTCGGTCGAGGGGGTGGTTTTGTTTCCGTGAGCCGCGCAAGGCGAGCAAATCTTTTGGGGTTCACGCTGATCTTGCCGAGCGCCGCCGTGCCGCGCCGCCGCCTCCGCCCCCTTCCCGCCCACCGCCATCGGCGGCGCTCGGTCGCCGGCGCCGACCAGGGTCGCCAGGCACGACACCCAGGGCTCGATTCCCCCCGGCACAGTCCGGCAACGCTGCTGTTGGGGCAGTTCTTTTGGCACCCCAGCCACATCCATCTCTCGCCTGATTCTGTCGGGCGAGACTGTGCGCGGCGGCGTGCGTCGTGTCAAACACGGTGCGTGAGCCGCGCGTGGTGCTCACCACACGCCCTTCAGTTAGGGCACAAAACACGAACGCGTGTGCGTGTGTGACGTCAAATCACGTGACCCGTGTGTGTGACGCCAGCAGGTCTCGCGCTGCCGCCATGTCCTCACGTTCCCCCGTGCCGTCCCGCCCCCCCCCCCCCCCGTACAGAACGTGGACATCACGAACTTCAGCAGCAGCTGGTCGGACGGGCTGGCGCTGTGTGCGCTTGTGCACTCCTTCCTGCCGGCGCACATCCCCTACGCGGAGCTGAGCAGCGCCAGCAAGGTGCCGCTCTCCCTCTCGGTCCGGCCACACCATCTCCCCCCCCTCCGCTCCTCTCTCTCCTCCTCTCCTGTCCTAATCTCTCCCGTCTCATCCCATCTCACCCTCGTGGGAGACGGGGCTCCTAGTACAGGTGGGGGGACCCTGCTTCCAAGTCTACCCCCCCAACCCACAACCCCCCCCCCCCCCCCGGACTTCCCACCCGGTTGGTTTTGTCCACCGCATCTGCCTTACTTGCAGTGGTGCCCAGGTGTGACTGGGAGATTCCAACACAAAGCCGGGGGGGGGGGGGTGGATAAGGCGAGAGGGTGACTGGGCCTCCCCTAGGTCGACTCTTTCTGTGCGGCTCTACGAGGGGGATCCCTGTGCGTGGCCTCAAAGTGCATTTAACCCCGGCGTGACCTCCGCGGTGAGGTTATCGGCATTTATTTGTGAGCGCCGGCTGTTATTGTTGTTGATTGTGTCCGTTTGTGCGTGCATGATTGTGCGTGCCAATGCGTGCGATTGCACGCTTGGTTGTGTGTGTACTTGTGTGTTAGTATGCGAGTGTGTACGTGTCGTTGTGTGTGCGTGTTCGTGCGCATAGCTCGCCAACAGCACTTCCTCTCATCGTCAACACAGGCGTCCACGTGAAGGATGTGTTGCCTGTGTGTAGTTGTGTGTGTCTATGTGATGGCGCATCAGCCAGTCATCTCAGTCAGTCAAGCCATGGCACCTAGGTCTATCTCGTGACCTCCTGCCTGCGGGCGTTCGACAGTTCACGTGGCCTCAAGGTGCACATGGCCTGGCACAGGCGCCGTGGTGACGTCACTTCCACTTCGTGACGAATGGCGGTTGTTGTTGTTGTCCCTGATTATCTATGTGAAAGTGTGCGCATCTTGATTACGTTCAGCTTATTATATCTGTGTGTCCGCTAGTGATTGCGTGTGTCTGTAAGTGATTGCAGTGGTATCTATCTGATGTGATTGAGTGCAGGTGAGTGTTTGATTATATTTGTGCAATTGTGTGCATCTGTACACGTGATTGTGTGTGATTGTGTACTGTGATTGTGTGTGTATGAATGTAAGTGCCTGTGTGTGTATGAATGTGTGTGTTAGCGCGCTGCGCTATGAACCCGGTGACCCGAGTTCGTTCATGGCCAACACCGGTAACGATTATTTGAACCGGTCCAGGGCCCTCCCCGAGGTCAACTCAGCCTCGACTGAGTAACCGATGTGGCGCGCATACATCGGCAGCAACAATTGCGGCCGGGCGTGGTGCTGGCCACCCACCCCCCCCCCCTCGTGTATTGTGTGCCGTGCCGGCCTTCATCGGTGCTCACTAACACCACTTGCCCCAAAAGTATGGTAAGCCTGTAGGGTGCATCTTTGTCTTTGTGTTTCGACCGGTCAGCTCGTTCAATCGGCCTCGTGCCATTGTTGTGCGATTGAGCAGAGCGGCAGATTGCCGTGCCGTGCCCCGGAATCCATAATCACCGGCTAGCAGCAGCCACCACCACCACCATCGTTACCGCCGTTATCATCATCATGGTCGTTATCATCGTCCTCATCGTCGTTATCATCATCGTCGTTATCATTGTCACCGTCATCGTCCGCACGTCGAGAAGCGACCGTCGCCATCTCCATTACTATCCAGCGGCATCGTTGACGTGAACTCCAGACCGGATTCGACCTTCTGGGTCTCGTCAAGCTCGTTCGACACGTGGTGACGGGTCGTGTTCGGGCGCTCCGCAGTGAAGCAGAGAGCGCTCGCGGGCGAGGAGTTGACGCTCGTCCACCGTGTTCTCTCTCCGACAGAAGCGGAACTTCACGCTGGCATTCGAGGCGGCCGAGAGCGTTGGCGTCCTGACCACCCTGGTGAGCGTGGCGTGACCCCCCCCCCCTCCCCCCCTCCCCCCCCTCACCACGTCCATGCGGTTGACTCCCTGCGGCCGCCGCGATGTGAGAATCCGAACGCGTGACCAGATGATGCGTGTGAGGTTCTGCTCAGCGCTTCATTTCTCACCGAACATTTTTCGGCATCTGTGCTCGGGACCCATCGCTCGGTCGAGCGGGGGTGGGGGAAGGTGGAGGGGGGGGAACGCGTCGGTTCCCGACTCTCTGTCGACTTGTGCGAGAGCGCGGCCCCATCCGTGCCCTGGTTGAGCCTCCCAGAAATGTTGTGGCTTTACAGGAGGGGCCCCCTTGCCCAGCCGCCCCCCACAGCCCCCACGACCCGCGGCGAGGCCCTGCCGCGGGTGACGCAGTGGCGAGCGGCGCTGGGGAGGGTTAAGGCGTCCGTGCCCCCGCACCGCTTCCCGACTCAGCGTTGACCTCGGGCGAGGAGAGACAGAAACAAAGCGCGCAGCTGGGCCGTAAGCAACCACCGGCGTGGTGAGCAATCGCCCCGGCCCTCGGCCGACGATACCCGCGGAAGAGTATCGTCGCCGTAGTTTGGTTATCGATGTTCAAAAACAGCTGATCACTGCACCGGACGGTGTCTGGGTTCGATACCCGCGGAGGGGTCAGTGGCGTCTGGTCGCACGGCCGACGGCGTTGTCTCCCCTACAACTGGGACTCGCTCACCCCCCCCCCCCCCCCCCATGGCCTATTGTCCTAGGCGACCACGCTGTGTGGTGTTCGGCTTCCCTCAACACGGCGTGGTGCTGTGCATCACTCTCTGCCGCTCTCTGCCTCGTGTGCTCTCCCTCTCGCTTCCTCGCACTCTCTCGCTATCTCGCTTTCTCGCTTTCTCTATAGAGCGCAGTGGCTTCACTCTGTGAGCCACGAAGCACGCAGCCTCCTCCCTCCTCCTCTCTCGTCCACCACACCGGGAATTCCCATGTGTCGCCCGCCAGCCTGGAGGAATGCCGGAGTGTCTCCCACCAGCCTGGAGGAAGGCCGGCGAGGAACTCCGGCCACACCCTGGCAGAGACGGAGGCATCTGGAAACGTCGAGGCTGCTTGGGCAAGCAGCAGCAGCATCGCTCCCTCGATCACCTTCTCCCTGTCAATTGCCCACTCTCTTTTATCTCGCGCTCTCTCGCTCTCCCATGCTCTCCCACGCTCTCTCTCGCTCTCTCGTTATCCTCACCGCCGCCGCCGTGCTCCCTGGTGATCGCCGGCACCCAGTAACGGTTGCCGCAGCAGATAAGTCGCAGCACCCACCACCGCCACTTCCTGCAGCCGAGCAGCGGCGGTGCTGCGGTCGCCGCGTCCGATAAGCCCGGCCCATCCCTTGGCCGCCGCCGCCGCCGCCACCGCCGGCCTCGGTAAACAAACTCACCACCGGCCAAATGGCGATCGCTACTCGTTTGGTGAGGACCTCGACGGAGTCGTAAATCTTCACCGTCGCTCCGCCGCCCACCGCGCGTCATCATAGGCGGTGATCGATCCACTGCTGGATGAAGGCGCCAGCGACTTGATCTTGGCTGTTGTATGTTTAATTTGTCAGGATTTGTTCGGGGATGTTGGAGAATTTGGATGACGGTGGCGAGACCGACGGGAGAGATTCCAGCATGAGAGAAACAAAAACTGTAAATACTATTTGTGTTAAATATTCACAGTCGTGTATTCAGCTTAGCCTCTGTCAAATGAACATGGAACTTCACCACTGACGATGGGGATGATGATGACCATTGACCATGGCTCACTTGAGGAGGGAGAAACTATGACTGGGGTCATTGAATCTGTGTGTGTGTGCATCTTGCATGTGTGCGGGATGTGTGTCTTGACGCGAGTCCACCCCGGGTTTTGCAGGACGCTAATAATCTGGTGCACTCGGACCGGCCCGACTGGCAGAGCATCATGGGATACGTGACATCCATCTACAAGAACTTTGAGACGTGAGGCAGCGGCGACCCCGTGGCCCGGAGCCGACCTGGACTCCTCAAATCGGACGACCAAACCTACCCTCACTTTGGTGACCTGTTTTGTCCAGGTCTCGTGAAATGTTGACGAACTGCATGCTTCGTCACCTTGGTGACCACCCCCACCTCACCGTCGGTGGCCACCTTTACCTCTGCTCACTTCGTCACTCGGGCGGCTGGCGGTGGGGGGGGGGTACCGGCCAGTTGTGGACGCCGTGGGTCCCCCACTAGCACCCCCTCCGCCGACTCATCCTCTTCTCCGGGAACCCTGACTACCCCTTGGCGTCCCCAACCTCGCGGAGGTCAAGAGGTCGCGCGGCAAGGGCTGGCGCAGCACGTCTCCGTACGAGAGGCCTCAATCCGCTGGTGACCTCCCCCTGCCCCCCCTCCACCACGATTGAGAGACGGGGTCGTTCGGGGTCGGCGCAGGTGTGACACGGCACACCTGGGGGGGGGGGGGGCGGTGGTGGGGGTGCTGCTGCTGCTGCAGCGTTGGGACGGGAGCGGAGGCTGTGCCCGCGCACGGCAGGAGTTGGGGTGGAGGTGCGTGATTGGCCACGTGTGCAATGCGGGACGGAGCGACGTGGAACCCCCCACCCCCCCCGGGGTGTTCGAACCGACGGAATTTACAGCCTCCCTCGCGCGCTCCGCTCCACAGCGGCGAGAGCGCAAGTTTACTAAATATCTATATACACATGGGTGTGTGTGTGTGGGAGAGAGGGGGGAGCGGGGAATGGTGGCGCCGCGATTACCGCACTGCGCCACGAAGCGCGGTGACCCCAGTTAAAATCCTGACCCTGGCTCACGTAAGTGGTGGGTGATATTTAAAGCAGTTCTGGGCCATCGCTAGGTCGACTCAGCCTTAAATGTGTATCTTGTGTGGTGTGTAAATATCAGTACTGGGGAGACAAAGGCGGGCGGGGCGTGGTACTGGTCGCACACCGTCTCCTCCTGTGCCACGCCAGCCTTAATAGGAGCTCGCTAACAGCACTTTCGCCAACAGTCTGAACGGCTGCACGGGCGGTCTTAGAGAGAGAGAGAGGACGCTTATACATGCGGGCAGGGGGCGATGTGGTGGTCGGACTTTGCCAAACAACACTGCCCAGCTCTTCTCTAGTAGCTACACACAACTACACACGGATACACACAACTACACACGGATACACACAACTACACACGGATACACACAACTACACACGGATACACACGGATACACACTGAAACACACAATTACACACGGATACACACGGCTACACACGGATACACACAACTACACACGGATACACACGGCTACACACGGATACACACGGCTACACACGGATACACACAACTACACACGGATACACACAACTACACACGGATACACACGGCTACACACGGATACACACAACTACACACGGATACACACAACTACACACGGATACACACGGCTACACACGGATACACACAACTACACACGGATACACACGGCTACACACGGATACACACTGAAACACACAACTACACACGGATACACACGGATACACACGGCTACACACGGATACACACAACTACACACGGATACACACGGCTACACACGGATACACACGGATACACACAACTACACACGGATACACACAACTACACACGGATACACACGGCTACACACGGATACACACAACTACACACGGATACACACAACTACACACGGATACACACAACTACACACGGATACACACGGATACACACAACTACACACGGATACACACTACACACGGATACACACAACTACACACGGATACACACGGATACACACAACTACACACGGCTACACACGGCTACACACTGAAACACACAACTACACATGGCTAAACACAGCCACACACGGCTACACACAGCTAAACACGGCTACGCACGGATACACACGACACACGGCCACCCACAACTACACACGACACACGGCCACCCACAACTACACACGGCAACACACGGATACACACAACTACACACGGATACACACGGATACACACAACGACACACGGCCACCCACAACTACACACGGCAACACACGGATACACACAGCTAAACACGGCTAAACACGGATACACACGGATACACACAACTACACATGGATATACACGGTTTCACACGGATACACACAACTACACACGGATACACACAACTACACACGGATACACACGGATACACACAACTACACACAGCAACACACGGACACACACACACCTAAACACGGCTAAACACGGATACACACAACTACACACGGCTACACACGGATACACACGGCCACCCACAACTACACACGGCAGCACACGGATACACACAACTACACACAGCAACACACGGACACACACACCTAAACACGGCTAAACACGGATACACACGGATACACACAACTACACACGGCTACACACGGATACACACGGCCACCCACAACTACACACGGCAACACACGGATACACACGGCCACCCACAACTACACACGGCTACACACGGATACACACGGCCACCCACAACTACACACGGCAACACACGGATACACACGGCCACCCACAACTACACACGGCAACACACGGATACACACGGCCACCCACAACTACACACGGCAACACACGGATACACACGGCCACCCACAACTACACACGGCAACACACGGATACACACGGCCACCCACAACTACACACGGCAACACACGGATACACACAACTACACACAGCAACACACGGACACACACACCTAAACACGGCTAAACACGGATACACACGGATACACACAACTACACACGGCAACACACGGATACACACGGCCACCCACAACTACACACGGCAACACACGGCCACCCACAACTACACACGGCAACACACGGATACACACGGCCACCCACAACTACACACGGCAACACACGGATACACACAACTACACACGGCAACACACGGCAACACACGGATACACACGGCCACCCACAACTACACACGGCAACACACGGATACACACAACTACACACGGCAACACACGGATACACACGGCCACCCACAACTACACACGGCAACACACGGATACACACAGCAGCCGGTGGACCCCAGCTGTGCCCCGTGCTGTGAGGCACGAGCTGAGTCAGGAGAGCCTCGTAGAGAGCCTCGTAGAGATCCTCGTAGAGAGCCTCGTAGAGATCCTCGTAGAGAGCCTCGTAGAGATCCTCGTAGAGAGCCTCGTAGAGATCCTCGTAGAGAGCCTCGTAGAGAGCCTCGGGAGGGAGGAGAGGGGGGGTCCTACCCCCTCGCGGGAGCAAGCTGCAGAATCTGGGAGCTGATAGACCCCCCAGCAGCACGCTCTTAGAGGGGGTGCACCAGTCAAAGCGCCGCACAGATGTATTCAGGAATCACACACCGCACAGATGTATTCAGGAATCTCACGCCGCACAGATGTATTCAAGGATGCTCGAGTGACATTCCAACGTGTGTTACTCCATTGACGTCACCGGCGGAGGTCCCGTGACCGCAGGGCGAGTGTGACTGCTGCGTGGTTCAGGAAACTCGGAGACTGGGACTCGCCGTCAGGAAGCGCATCCTGGGTGTGTGGGTAGTAGACACGCAGCAAAACACGAGCACCGTCGCACACCTCTCCTGCCTTTCGCATCCCTCCAATTCGAGGACACAGGTGGTGTGACCATTATCAGCCGCATCAGAAACGACACCAGGCCGACACGGGCTGCATCTCCTTCGCGAGTTGGGAATTATTGACACGAGCCGCGCAGGAGTGAGACTGTGGCCGTGCAACCCACACTGCGGACCGGATAGTAAACTCGTACAGACTCGCAGAGGCGCATAGCGATGCATCGAGACACAGAGATTTAGTCGCGTTAATGGCAAGCGACAGGAGTGCGATCGTGGCCACATTCTGGACCAGATAATAGCTGCACTGTGGTCTGCGCTCCTTCAACGGAGGAGGAGGAGAAATATCGAAACGCTCTCCTGAAGCCCTCTGCTCGTAGCGAGCCGACCTCGACGTTGGGTATTTAGTTCCTGGACAAATTGCTGCTGCTGCCATCTCGGCCAGAACAGATGGGGGGGGGGGGGTAGCTGCGAGAGAAGAGCCGCGCGTGTCTTGGGGTCGCGTCTCTCTTGGGTCGCGTCTCTCTTGGGTCGGGACCCTGCAATGATGCCACTGCTAACGCCACGCGTGTTCATTAAACATGATTTCTTTACAGCGCGTGGTCGTGTTTCTCTTGTTCGACGCGGACTTAAACAAAATGCTGCGTCGCCCTCGCGTCACCGTTTCCAGACGAGGCCGTGCTGGCTGCGTCACGTAGCCCGCATGTCCAGCCACTGCATGCCCAACAGCCCAAGCAGCTGCTGTTTGACCGGATAGAGAGCGCTTAACGGGTGTGGCACGGGCTAGAGAGGAAGTGGAGCTGATGTGTGAGTGGGTGAGTGACACGGGCTAGAGAGGAGATGGACTGATGTGTGAGTGAGTTGGTGAGTGGCACGGGCTCGAGGAGATGGAGCTGATGCGGTACAGGAGGATGTGGAGGTGAGCGGAACTTGTCGAGGACCCAGCGGCAGTGACCTCTCCGCTCGTCTTTCGTTCGGGACGTGGGCCGCGCGGGTGTGGTCCAGCGTCCGCTGCCCATCACGAGTTGCCCTGAGCAGGCACTGCTGCTCCTGCTGCTCCTGCTGCTGCTCCTGCTGCTGCTGCTGCTCCTGCTGCTGTTCCTGCTCCTGCTGCTCCTGCTGCTGCTGCTGCTCCTGCTGCTGCTGCTCCTGCTGCTCCTGCTGCTGCTGCTGCTCCTGCTGCTGCTCCTGCTGCTGCTGCTGCTCCTGCTGCTGCTGCTCCTGCTGCTGCTGCTGCTCCTGCTGCTGCTGCTGTTCCTCCTCCTGCTGCTCATGCTGCTGCTCCTGATGCTGCTGCCGCCTCCTGCTGCTGCTGCTCCTGCTGCTGCTGTTCCTGCTCCTGCTGCTGCTCCTGATGCTGCTGCTCCTGCTGCTGTTCCTGCTGCTCCTGCTGCTGCTCCTGCTGCTGCTCCTGCTGCTGCTCCTGCTGCTGCTGCTACTGCTGCTCCTGCTGCTGCTCCTGCTGCTGCTGTTCCTGCTGCTGCTGCTCCTCCTGCTGCTGCTGCTCCTGCTGCTGCTGCTCCTGATGCTGCTGCTCCTGCTGCTGTTCCTCCTGCTGCTGCTCCTGCTGCTGGGCAACATTTGCACTTTGAACGCTGCTACCGGAGTTCAGATTTTCCCGGGCACGGCTAACATCAGTGGCGATCGGTTTGGCTGGCTTTGAGGCAGACAGTATTGAAGCTCTCGGCCTTATCCCGCACCACGAGCTCAGAAGGACCGAATGTGTGGCCGTCCTTGTCATTCAGAGTCGCCGACTCAAAAAAGTAGTTGACGAGATGTGGGGCCGTTCCGACAGCGGGCAGCGGTGGACACGGCTGGATGCCGGCTGCGTCCTCGCTAGGACTCTAAACGACAACGTGGGCACACGTTCAGTTCTTCCGAGCTGGTGGTCTGGATAAGGTCCAGAGCGATGGCGCGTTCACCTCCGGTGAGCACGGTTGGCTACGTATGGTGCGGATTAAGTTCAACACACGTACACACGTACACACGTACGTGCAATACTGCACAGCTGTGTGTGTGTGTTGTTAAATCTAATCCTCTCCGGTCTGCGTAGATGTCTCTATTGTGAGGAGGTATTCTCGTCACGTGCGGATTTACAAACACGTGCCTGGAGGTGAAGGAAATGTCGCTGCAAGGAATGTTATCAGAAGCGGGTCCGCGACGTCTCTTTCCGCGGGGCCGTTGTCCACGGCGGGTGACGCAATGACGAGGCTTTTACTGCCGGAGCTCCAAGTGGCCTCGGCTGGAATTCAATTGGGAAAAACGACGAAGTAATAATGAAAGCAAGGAATTCGTGACCACGTCAGAGCGAGTTTAAGTACCGCTGTGATCTCGGGACCCAAACATTCGTGAATTTACGCTTTTGACTGGCAGTATAAACACACACAGACAAAGATCACCCTCATAGCCCTTAACAGGATGTTGGGGTAAGTGCTGTTCGTGAGTATCTATGAAACCCGCCCCGGCGCACAAGGGAGTGAGTGGTCAACATGACGCCCGGCCGCCTTTGTCTCCTCAACGCTGATATGTATCACACTACACCAGGTACTCATTAGAGGAAGACCTAGGACTTGAGTGGGAATCGAACTCGGGTCGCTGTGCCGGTGGCGCAGGGCGCCAACCACGACGCTGCCGCTCGCCACCGCCATGAACACGCAGCGCGCGCGACTTTAACCCTGGGGAGCGGTGGCGCAGCGGTTGGCGCTGCGGCTACGAACCCGGCGACCCGAGATCGATTCCCGCTCATGGTTAATAACCAGTGACCAACATCTGGACCGGTCGTGGGGCCTCCCCTAGGTCGACTCGACATTAAAAGAGTACCTTGTGCGTATGTGTAAACATCGGCGCTGGGGAGACAAAGGCGTCCGCGCGTGGTGCTGGCCATCCTGGGTGTGAAGGCCGTGCCCGCCTTCATAGGCGCCCAGCGAACACAGCACTTGCCCCAACAGTCTGGTTGATAGGACGTTGTAAATAGTTACGTATATGACTGCAACCTGCTGATGCTCCAATAAAAATGTCACCTGGATCCCCACCCCCTTGGGGATGGAACGTCCCCGTTTACAAGTTCAGAGACGTGGAGCAAACGCCGCAGAGCGCGCAAAGCACGAGGAGACGCGCGTGGAGAGACGGACAGAGCAGCGCCGCGTGGGTCAGAGGTGGCGCGCGGATTGAATCCCAACCCAAGATGTTAGAGGCAACGTTTCACCAGCGGGCCTCGGGCAAGACGCGTCGTTAGGAGGGACGCAGCAGGTCTGAGACAAATAACGGAGCGGCGGTGCGGGAATGGAACTCGTCCGAGATTCCGACCACCGCGGCGGAGACGGAGCGATGAAATCGATTCGCGTGCAGGATTGCGAGAGACGGCTTGGATAGTCCTTCATCCAGCAGTGGATTCGCAGAGCAGTGTCCTTCGGCATTGGTCACGTCCCACGTTGCCCTGTGTGATAATAGAACTCGCCCTCTGTTCGCCCGTCAAGATAATACGACGGTGGGGTTACACGCGTGTGCCCACGTGTGTTCACGTGCATGGCATTGCATGTTCACATGCGTGCACCTGTCCACGCCATGTTTTGACCCTCGCACTCAGCTGGTAATGTCCATCGCGGCAAGCAGAACACTCCACACAATCGTCAATGACACTGTGGCCTCACAGTTAATGATACTGGTAGGAACCTCCTGGTTACACCAGTCCACAGGGGATTATTGTGTCCGTCCGTCCGTCGTGCATCCAAGAATTGGAGGGGTGGGGCTGGGTGGGGAGGGGAGGGTGGGGAGGGGCTGGGTGGGGAGGGTGGGGCTGGGTGGGGGGTGGGAGGGGTGGGGCTGGGTGGGGAGGGGCTGGTCACCCCGTGGTGCCCTTATAAAACTCAACGTTTAACCTACTCACGCCGGCTTGTGCCCGCCCTCACAGTCGGGAATATTTGCGGAAAACACCACGCCGCCGTTGACCCTGGCCATTGACCGAGAAACCCAACGTTCCTACCAGCTCCCTCCGCAGGAATGTGTTTTATTATAGGTGACGTTTCAGGCAATCGCCCTTATTCATAGCACATGCGAGCGAAGCAGTTCGGTTACAAAGTCGACCAATGCTCAAAACCGTCGCAAGTTACCACACATTGCAGTTACATAGAGTTAAATAGAGTTACATAGAGTTACATAGAGATCCATAGAGTTGCATCCAGATCCATAGAGTTACATATATATCCAATAGAGTTACATCGAGAGCCATAGGGTTACCTAACCATAGGGTTACATAGACATTCATAGAGTTACATCTCTTGCGCCATAACAAGGCGCTCTAAGTCACTTTACCTGCCACCACGGTCACGGGGTAACCCCCCCCCCCCTCGGGTGGCCCGTGACCGGAGGTTGACACCCCAGACCCCCAAGGGCTGGGGGCTGGGGGGGGGGGGATAGAGACCGCCCAGCGATTTTAAGACCCTTTAGGATTTAAGGCCCTTTAAGACTTTCCAGAAGGTTCTGGATGGGGGGGGGGCGGGCGGTCATTAGGGGTCCGGCAGTGTTCGCCAACTCAGCCTGAAGACATCCAAGACCTGAAGACTCGACCAGCACCCGGGGACCCTCACCCGAGGCTCTGGTCAGAGCCGGGTTGTAGCGGACCGGGTCGGTCTCGCCTCCCTTAGCGGCCGTGGCAAGGGACCTGTGTGTAGAGTGGCCCGGGGTGTCGCGTAGCCCGGGGTGAGTAGGACACACGGGAAGGGAGGCTGTACCTCCCTTAGGCGATCGGGTTGAAGGGGCCGTACCCCTTCGTGTTAGGGTCGTTGTTCGTAGAGTTGTTGAAATAGACGCGTTGTCTCCAGAAGTCGTCTCCGTGTAGTTAGACACACAACACATAGTCACAGGGTTACATAGAGATTCATAGAGTTACATAGCCATAGGGTTACATAGATATCCATAGAGTTACATAGCCATAGGGTTACATAGAAAGCCATAGACTTACATAACCATAGGGTTACATAGAGATTTATAGAGTTGCATAGAGATCCATAGAGTTACATAGAGAGCCATGGAGTTACATAGAGATCCATAGAGTTACAGAGAGATTCATAGACCAGAGCCCAAGGCTTTCGGCAGCGGCCAAGAGCAAAATCAACAAGACATAATAGGGAAAAACCTCAGCCAGAGCTCACTGCAAGGAGAACAAACACAAAGTGAATGGCGCTTACGTACAAATCGACAACAGTGCTCAAGAAGAATTCCTGGCACGGGACGCGTGCAGAGAGACCGTGCACACAGCGGCAGAGGGCCCCATCCTGCAGCAACAACCCCAACACACACACACACACGGCAGCAGTCGGTGGGCGTGGGGTGTTGAGGACACCCCGGAACGTGAGCTGATGCACGAGAAACAAAGGTGGTGGTGGTGGGGTGGGGGTCCTCCTCTGGCGCCGGTTTGAAGTTCTCCATCTAGGGATGGTCACCAGCCGCTCAGCGCGCCGGCCGTGGGTTTGTTTTGGATGGTTTAACGGATGGAGAAAATAAATAAAAGACGCACGCGCACACACGTATAGAGGTTTACGTGAACACACACACACACGCGCGTGTAGTGAAAGTGCCCGCAGAGGTTACGGTA